ATGAGGAGAAAGATAACAGGAGCCCATATCCTGCTTTCTGGTTTTCAGGGTCTGCCAGCTCCAGTGGTGACAGCAAAATTTTTATCAACATCTTCATGACTGCAGAGAGCTGTGACTGAAGATTAAAAAAACACAAAGTTGTCCCACTGAATTAGGAGAGTTACATCAGCCATGGTTAGATGGTCACTCCCATCACATCAGGACATGTTTTACCACCTCATCCAGTCAGGTATAACTGTCGGCTGCCCTTGGAGTCTGTCTGTCTGTCCCAAGAGATGTGCTCTTGTCCTCCCCTCAACAGCAATTAAGGTCCAGCAGAAGGAGGATCCTAATGCCTGTTTAGCTTCATAACTCTGCTTAGCCACTGATTCCCTCCACCCCAAGTTTTTCCCAACAGTTCAGAAAGGTGGGAATTCATCATGTCTTCATTCACTAGATACCATGTAAGGAGAGTGGGAGGGGAGGACCAAGGAATTTCACCATTATTTTTATCTATTGCTACGATGTGCCTCTCCCCCTAGTCGTTTTCATAGAAACAGTGAAACTGAAGCAAGACATGATTTGATTATTATTTGAGAATTACAATTCACTTTCATGCTGTAAAAAAGATAGTGCATTAAAGAGTTAACATCTAAACCAGGACTTTGAACCTATATTAACCTGGAGATTAAGTCCCATACTGTTCTCGTGTGAACTGAATTAAGAATATTTTTACTTGGTATACAGAAATTATTCTTACAGTTCTCTTTAGGATTGAGAATGATTATTGTCCATTTCTTCTTCCGCTAGTTACATGGGGAAAAAAATTAAAAAAATAAATGCACTAACAAAAAAAAAAAAAAACCCTCCCTCACAACTTCCTTTACTGAAATTAAAAAAAAAAAATATTCTCTATTCATATAACAAAAAAACTTTGTGTCAGCTGCAGAAACATACATAGCTAAACCCCAAGAGTAAGTACAGGTAAGAGCAGAAATTAACTCTTATTAGAAAGCTATAAAGGTTAATTTGGAAAAGGAAGCTCTTAGAAGCTGCTAGAAATGGTGATGAGGCCTCAGGATAAGTGAGACTATGACAGACAGTTCTTAGGATGTAATGCTTAAATTTAGTTTCCACTGATTGTACCCTTCTGAAGTTTTGGGTATATAAAACTTTTTTTAGATGCCAGCCTTTCTTTTCAGCATGTAATGGAATTCCTGCAAGAAATACTGCATCAGATCTTTATACACTTTCATTTAAGTCTTTATCAATTACAATGGTAGTAGCAGATTTTTAGAACTAAAATTTGTCTCAGGTATTTCTAACAATATTTAAGCTTTATATTAGTACAGATCCAGCTAGGCAAACAAAATATGAATAGAATTGCAGAGCTATAATATATACTAGTCAAGTTTTAATCATGTTCTACAGATTATTAAAACCAAAAAGTCTTAAATTTGCACCCAAAATATAAAGATTGTTAAACCACACTATCAGCAAGACTTAAGGAGGACAAAAATTACCTCTACAAAGCTGAGAGATTCTGAAAGGGCTGAGAGTTTTGTTCACTATTTCTAGTCAGTTTGAGAATGTCATATTGGAGGCTATCAAGCTAATGGCACTCAAAAGAAGAGATCAAGACATAAACCAGATAGATACCTAAACAAATTTCACTTAATATCAGCATAATGGGAAAGTATTTTAAATCATTTTTCGCCAAAAAGCTTAACAGGCATGAGCCTGGTGTCTACAGTATCGCTCTTTCAGAACAGTTTTAATCTAAAGTCAACCTAAATGAAGGTCACTAAAGCCTAGGAAAAGGTGGAATTGTGGAAAGGCATGACTAGGGATGACTTTGTGCTGCAAAATCTATTACAGAAATGTAGCCTAATTTATGCCTCTAAGGGAGGCTGATCTAGAAAAGAAAAGAAATCTTCATTTGACACAAGGGTTATACAGTCAAATACATTTCCGTGTTTTCTCTAAAAATTTGTTGCTACTGACTCATATCACCTTATAGATGTTCTTTATAGATGTGCAAAGCACAGAATGCCTATGCATTTTTTGTACAGACCAGTATAGCCAGTCACAGCAAATTTGCAGAAGATACTAGATGTGTTTTTATCAGAGAAGCAGAAGAATAAACTGGGAAGTACTAGCTCAAATTCAGGTCAGAATTAATATCAAATAACCAGACCTGAACTACTTAATTACTAAATGAGCAGAATAGGTCATTGATACTAAAAATTTATTTAGCAATAATTTTATCTCTAGAAAACTTGACCCAAAGCCCCTGGCAGAATTTTAGGTGGCATTGTGCTGAATTAACGCCTGAAGGATCTGTCTCGGAGCTGTTTGTTAAATTAATTGCTAATGTACATAACTATTAATAAATTAGTATAAACATGTAACTTGTGTTTGAAATGAAGCCACGTAATTCAGCTTTAGTGATGGAAATGCTATAGCTCTGCGCTTTCTGGACAAACAGGGGACTCTCCAGATCAGACCAACACATAAAGAAGTTTGGAAAGTGACCACAAGGGAAAAAAAAGAACTCAGGCCTATTCACTCTAGAAAAAAACAAGATCAAGCTAAACATGTGAGCTGATAAGGAGCTTGCAGAATCTCCTTAATTTTAAATTCCTAAGAACCAGTTAAACAAAGTTTACACAGTGTATTTATAATTCATCACAGCCCTTGAGCAGGAGATGTGCTTTTAGAAGTTTCTTCCAGTCTTGTACTTCTAGAATTAGTGACTGTTAATACTATCTCAACACATTTCTTCTCCCAAATCCTACACAGACATGTGAAACAAAACTGTACAACAGTTTATGAATAGTTTTTCTAACTGTAAAAGTAGCAATGGAGTCTAAAAGTGCTTATTCACTGTGAATTAGCAGGGCCACCACTGACAAAAACCATCCACAAGAAAATTGAAAATATGTAACACTGAAGAAATTAATATGATTTTGCAAAGGAAAGCTGAAAATTAAAGGTTAAAACCCCTCCCTTGTCTTCTGAACACTTTAATTCCTGTAATATCATATATTACATAAGGCCAGATTGCACAGCTTTTGTCAGCATTTGCAATGTGTGTCTGTGAATACATCAGAAAACACTTGATTCAAGGCCTTCCCCTCCTTGTCTGAAGAATTAACTGTGCAGGCAAGTGGTAAGTCTCTATTTTCAGATATTGTTGTTAGGTCAAGCATGAGAAAAATACCTTCTAAATGTCTTACATTTTTTATTTAGGACCTTATATGCAGTCTGCCATGAAAGCTGTCTTTCTGACCTCAAGATAAGGCAAGCTGCATCAATTTCAATGTTTGGAATATCAACCCAACCATTTTTCTTTTAGCAGGCATTTCAGTTTTAATTTGAATTTCTGCCACAGAGCAATACTTTTTTTTTCCATAAGCCAAAGTAGAAACAATTTATAGGTCATATACTCTTCTGAAAGCACACAAGCTGTGTTGGGATTATGGTGTCAATTCTCTAGTTGATCCAAAGTACCTCCAACCACTCCTGAATATACTTCTGCAGTATCGAATGACACATCCAGCAGTGGCCTTCTGCATACATTCTCCTTGTAAGAAATTATTTCAGGGCTCTTCTCTTCATATTTTTGGATTTTTCTACCAAAATTGAATTGGTTAGAAAATAAAATGTTTTGACTTTGAAATCTCAGCTTTTTCTAAAAGTTGAAGTCTCAATTAAATGGAAGTCTAAGATTTCCTGGATCCACCTAAATCCTACGTCCATGTCATTCAAACATTAACTGAAGATGCACACGGTGTGAGACTGTCTGCCTGTTACTATAATTGTAATTATAGTCATCCAGAAAGACTGGCCAATTGTTCTGAAAAGGTCTTGACTCCACTTAAATTGTCTCAAGATTTGCTGAATGATGCCTAACAGTTATTATTTGAGCAGACAGTACCTAGAAATTTAATTTAAACTTTTCACTGGACTATTTACTATTTGTAAGAACAGCCTTTTTTCTTTTAGGTCATTGTTTGTAAGAATCACTAGCATCTACAAAGCTGTCTCCAAAGAAAATAGTGGAGGGACACATAGACAAACAACTCAACCACCAGCTTTGCAAGGCCTTGGAAAGGTTATCATATATCCCTTACCCCAAGAACCTGGCAACCCTAGGGACACCCTAGGGAGACCCAGTGGTTTTGCTTTCCGTACTTGTAAGATTTTATGAGAGAACCTGGTTCCCTGAGTTCACAGGACAGGTTAGCTTGGAACAGACCACAGTGGGTCACCTGGTCCAACCTCCCTGCTCAAGCAGGGTCATCCCAGAGCACAGGGCACAGGATTGCACCCTGATGGATCTTGAATATCTCCGAGCAGGGAAACTGCAACCTCTCTGGGCAACCTGTTCCAGTGCTTGGTCACCCACACTGTCAAGGTCTTCCTCGTATTCTGGTGGAACTTCCTGGGCATCAGTTTCCACCTGTTGACTCTTGTCCTATTGCTGAGCACTACCAAGAGCCTGCTTACATCCTCTTGGCACCCTCCCTTCGGACACTTACAGACATTTATATGGGACACTTATATGGCCCTCAGTTGCCTCTTCTCAAGGCTGAACAGGGGCAGCCCCCTGAGCCTTTCCTCGTAGAAGAGATGCTCCAGTCCCTTGATCAACTTTGTATCGCTAAGGGGGTCACTCCTACGCTACCATTGCTGAAGTCAAAATCATTCTGGCGAGGGTCCCAACCTGCCAAGGTACTTTCCTGTCGTTATTTTAAAGAAAATAACCTCTAAAGAGCCGCAACTTCAGGGATTGGCATGCTGCTCAACAGCTGTCCTTGATGCCGCCCGGCTTTAAGCGCAGCCCTGCGCTCGCACCACGGGGCACACAGAACGAGAGGCCGGGCTCCCCCAGGAAAACCCCCCACTCCCAGCCCCGCCAGGACGCTCCGGGAGCCGGGCGGGGCGGAAGGGACGGGGCGGGCTGAGGGGAGGCGGCACCAGGGCCGGAGCTCAGCCGAGCCCCGCCCGCGCCCCGCCCTCCGGCGCTGGCCTTCGCAGCCGGGAAAGGCCGGGAAGATGCTGGAGACGTTGCGAGAGCGGCTGCTGAGCGTCCAGCAGGACCTGAGCGCCGGGTGGGTACGGCCTGCGGCCCCGCGGGGCTGGCGGGGGCACCGGGAGAGGGGCCCGCGTCCCGCAGCCCGGCCGGGCAGGGGGGGAAAGCAGGTGACCGGGGGCCGGGGAGGCGTGGACTGGCACAGGGAGGGAGGAAGAGGAGGAGATTGCGCAGCCGGGAGGCGCTGCCGGGGCCGGTCTGTCACCCGGGGTGCCCTCCCGGGTGCGGGGACGGGCTGGAAAGGCGGCTCCAGGGTGCCGAGTCCCGCCGTGCTCCCGCCTGGGCTGGGCTGATGGCGGGCTGGAGAGCCGGCGGGGCCGCGGGCAGCGCTGGGGAGCCGCGGTGCCCGGAGAGCAGCTGCGGTCAGGGGAAGGAGAGAGAGAGAGAGAGGGACAGACAATCAGACAGACCGCGGTTGTGAAAGAAGATGTGAATGAGGTCAATTAACGCGCTTGAATTTTTTATGAAGTTACCGACCTTCAAGGTTTCATGGATCAGCGTAATCCCTTAAAGAGCATTTCTGGGCGCCGCTTGGTGTGCGGAGAAACTCGCTTTTCCTTGGAAGATGAGTTACTGTCGCTTGGGGAAAAGGAGCGCAGGATAAGCGGATGGAACAGCCCCGCGCTTGCACTGAAAAGTAGAAAGATATTCTTCCTGCGTTGTCTCCCCAGGTTTATTCGGCTAGGCCCCGTGTCGATGCTGTTTTTAGTGCAAGCAGGTGGCCTAATGAGTGTCGCTGGAAGCCAGCGAGTGGCCGCAGGACAAGGTCATGCCTGTGCTGCAGAGCTGGTGGCTCATGATGAGCCGCAGGGGAATATTGTGTTGTAATCAATTGCTTTTAAAAACTGTGTGGTCTTTGGCAGTTAAGGCTGCCTTATAATACCCCTATGGTAAATATTTCTATCTAGTGAAGAATGTCTTTGTACCCTAGAAACTGAAAATATCTGAAATAACTGGAAATATAAGTTTGTCATTACTTGCTTGTATACCGGTGTATGATGGTCAAGAGAAACTGACAGAAGAGGCTGCCAGTCAAACAGATAAACTGCTTACATGTTATCTGTCTCATCTTAGCAAACAGCAACTGAATATTAAACTGCCTTAAAAATACAGACAAAAACATTGCTTTATTTCTGTCTGATTTTCTCTTTTGCTTCTCAGAGGAGTTGATATCTCAGTACAGTGTAAGGCTCTTTTGAAAAGGGTGTTTTTCACATGGTGAGAGAGAAGAACAGAAAGGTCATAACATGCCAGATCTGATGGTCATTTAATTCTGTGGTTCTGTATTTGTGTTTTCCTTATTTGCTGCAGTGGAGTCAGTATATTTCCATGTATTTTGCTTCCTTCCTGATGTTGCAATGTTTTGTTCTGAGAACAGTCCCTGATTTCATGTCCATCTTTGTATTTTGGCAACTCCATTCATGTGCCCTTTTTCCAGTGCCCTGTCTTTAAGTGTTATTTTCATGTCTGGTGTAATCTCTCTTTTTTTTCCATTGGGAACCTGTTTCTCAGAACTACAGTGGCAAAGGCTGTGGAAGTGGAAGGCATCTTTTTTTTTCCCTTTAGTGTTCCCATATATCCAGAACACAAGTTGACCTGGTTCGCCCCCTCTTCCTTCCTAGACTGTGCAACCTAATTTCTTGGTGTTCTGGATTACTCTGTTCTGCACCCCACCAAAGTGGCAAAAGAAGTCATTTTGTGATGTTGGCATTTCAGCTTAAAATTGTATAATTCTCAAAACCCAAAGAGAGTATTTTTTGTGGCCAACTTGTTAGCTACACATAAATGCTTGCAAAGTAGAACAAGTTGAATTTCATGAAATTGCGAGGGGAAAGGTTTTCCAGGGCTTCTAAGACAATAATACCACTTCCTGAGGAATATGGGTACATGATGTATTGCTGAAAAAGTTTAAATCTGGGTTGTGTGGTTTAAAGAGAGCAGTTTAGAGTTATCAGCCATTTCTATGGCCTCCTTCCTCGCTCAGTTGTGTCTGCTGTCTAATTCTGCGTGTCCTGTGCGCAAGGTATCTGAATTTTGACCCATTCACCTGTCAGCAAGCTCTTGCAGGCAGAGGAAAAACAACCAGAATGGATGCAGTGGAGAAGGGCAAATTGCACAGCTTCCTTCAGCAGTGGGTTCTTCCTCAGTGTGCGGTGGTTGTTGCTACCTGGCTTGGCTGTTACAAGCAGCTCTCTAAGAGGGAGTGGAGACCCGCCTTAGCATGTCTTTTCTCAAATTGTGATCCACCTGGTGTGCTGTAGAGCTTTGATGTTTCTTTGAGTTCCTGGAAAACAGTGATCAAGACTGGGGGAGTGATTTTACTGCTCCTCAAAGCAGCCTGAATATCTGTCAGTATATTAGGTTGTTTCTCAGTCCCTGGGTCACTTAGGATTACAGATCTCTCTGTCATATGTGGAGGATATCTTTGGCTCTCATAGTTCACTTCCATCTTGCTTGTGTCTCTGTCATTTATTTCTTACTGTCCTGAGCAATAAAAGTTTTTTGTGACCACAAAGGGCCTAGAAATTGAGTGTAGCCATTGCCTGGGTGATCAGGGAATAGCCAGCAGGCTTGGTTCTCACTGTACTGTGTCAGCTTGACTAGTGTGTATATATATATATATATATATATATATATAGATAGATAGATATATATAGATAATATATCTTGACTGATAAAGAGTGGAAAGGTTGGGGGGGAGGGTTATTTGGTTGGTTTGGAGGGTTATTTTGCTTTTGAGGAGCAAGATAGCAGTAAGTTTGAAATGGACCGTGTGTGAAAGAAGCCTCAGATCTGCTCAGTAGCAGTGCACTGTGGTGGTGCTGCTGGAGGTTCTGAAAGCTGGCGGAAGAAAAGTTGTGCTTCTGCTGGTTTTGTGTTGGCAGGCTTATGGCAGGTGGGCTATACGTGTGTATGTGTGACTGTCATGCTTTTCCTTGCCATGAGAGCCTTCCTGTAAATGGTATTCCTCAGGGCTGGATTGGTTATTGCTAGGCATGTCTTTAGTTCCTGTCTGCTAAGGAAATTGTATCAACAGGTAGATGACTTATGTACACAACTCCCATTAAATTTGTCATACTGAATTGTCTGATGCACTTCTACAAAAAATTTCAAGATTTAGCAGCAGTGTCAGTGGAAATAAATTCATATGAGGGTCTCCACAAAATTAAGGGAAATTTGATTTATTTGTGAAACAAGCTGAAACAAAATTAATTGTAATAGACTGGAATTAAGGCATTATGTGTTCAAGCAATTAATTCTCTGGTTTTTATGTTGTAAATGTCTGATGGATTTGTGTTTTGATTTGTAGGTTGAAGACTTTGAGCGACAAATCAAGAGATGCAAAGAAAAGTAGGCAAAGGTACTTCTGAATGTCTTAATATATAGCATTAATAGAAGATATTCTTGTTAAGGAAAAATTTCAGGTGTCTCATATAGATGAGTCAATTGCAAGAACATTTGCATATAATTTTACAAAATACTATTTTGACAACAGAGAAGCTTAATGAAAGCAAATGCTTTGCTTAATACTGCCTTCATTGGTAGGCCTAAATAATTTCTAATGGCTGTCAATCAGTTTATAAATTACTATTTAAATTAAATGAATATGCAGTGTTTTTGTAGTACCTCATAGAAGATTCAGGTTGCAGTACACTGAAATGTAATTGTTTACAATCTCTGTGAATCTCTTGTCTTAAAATTGTAACTCAGGGGAGGTTTTTTTTGGGTAAAAACAGAAATAGGAGCCTTTTTATTGTGGAAGATATGTGTGTAATGAAATACTTCAGTTTTCTGTTTCAAGAAGCTTTGATAATTCTGCTGATTTGGTTTTCTTTCTTTAATTGATTTGGGTTTTTTTTTTTTAAGTCCTCTGCATTTTAGTTCTTATTTTTTCAACCTGTGTAAGCTGCAGCAAAAGACTACTTGTTGGCTGTAAATGACATCTGTGAGAGTTACTTCTTAAAATCTGATATGCTTTAGTGTAAAGCATGTTCTTACAAATAGTATCTGTAAGACACAAATACTGTTTGTGTCTACTATGTAGACACAAATTAGTTTAAAAAGAAGACAAGTGCTAAAAATAAGACATCTGAAATGTGAAAGGGGTCGAGGAGCCTGACCAGTAGTGATTGAAGATGTTCAATCCATAAAAGCCCATAGGACCATATGTGCCCAGAGATATCTCATGAAAATCAAGAGGTACAAATTCCATGTTTCCCTGGGAAGAAAGTATCCCCTGCAACAATGCAGGCTGGGCTGACAGACTATCTGGGAAGTAACTTTGCTAAAAAGACCTTGGAGTTCTTGGCAGACAGCAGGCTGAATGAGAGTCAGGGGACATGCCTTGCAGCAGGGAAGTCCCACAGCTAATGGGGCTGCAAACAACACCCCGACAGTGGGATTGAGGAATGTGATTGTCCCCTGCATTCAGCACTCCTCAGAGCACTGACCACCCTGTCCAGTTTGGTCCCCAGTTTGAGAAGGTGTTAATATTCTGGAGCAGTTTAGTGGAGGGCCACCAGAATGGCTGGGGCAGGAGCTCTGTGTATGAGGAAAGGCTGAGGTGGGCAGCTCTTCAGCCTAGGTGACTTCTGGGAGACCTAGCAGCAGCCTGCCATTGCACGTGAACTGGTTATTGAGGAAACTGGTGTGTGGTGGGAACTCAAAAGGTGATAGGAATACGATGGAACAAGAGATGATCAGACAGGAAAAGCTGAGAAAAGCTTCCTGAGAAAGCTGCTTTGATCTCATAGCTGGTTTCAGCAGGGGATTGCAGTAGAAACTTCCTGAGGTCCCTTTCCACCTCACTGATTCTGTCACTTTTCCCTTGCTTAAGGACAAGAAGCTTTAATTTATGGTAGTTTGCTTTGGGGTTTTTTTGGGGTTTTTTCCCCATTCAAATTGTTTGAATGACAGTGCAAAACAGTCTATTGGAGTGATCTTCCAAGAGACAGATTTTGGATGACATTAAGATCTTCACATTCTTAGAAGTACTGTATTGTTAATTTTCTATAACTTATATTAAGATGTCTTTATACTTGAAGCTGTTATTAATGGAAGTGTATGCATCAAATAGAAAATCATTAGAGCATTAAACTGGCAAAGGTTCCTTAGCTTAGTATTTATTTTTGGTGTAGGATATATTAAGTGGAATATCTGTCTTGAAGGACATGAACTTGTGTAGTAGTCTTTTTTTTCAGAATGTTTCTGTGCCCTTTTTTAGGTTAGAATTATGTTCATCCTATATCTTTGTTAACTGTACTTCGAAATTATTCAACAGAACTTGTTTTTAATGGACATGGTTGAAAAGAAGTAAGAATAGGCTATCATAAAACAACAAGGGAAAAAAACAATAAAGCAATCCTAGCTTTGGAATATTCTTGTAAGATACACCGTGTAATGCATTTTAAACCAAAATTGGCAAAGTGTTTGTGAAAGTAGGAGCAGGAGGAAACATTTCTGTGCTCAGCATATCTGTCAGATGTGTGTGCACACATTTTTTATAACAGCCTTCTTTTCTTTAACAATTTTGTACATTTGCAATTTGTTTTATAGAACTGTTCAGTGTTTGCCAGAGTTTTCTGCTGGACTGGAATTACTAAGCAGGTATGACCTTCCTTTTCTTTATTAGTGTTTGCTTCCTACATTAGATTTAAAAAATCTAATTTCTTTAGAAAGAAATTGGAGAGGAATATCAAAGTATTGCCACTAGGTTTTTGGTTGTTTTGCAGTTAGTAGTGTGGGAGTGATTACCAAATTATAAATGTGTTTAAAGGTTGCCCAATCCTGAAGTGTTGTCATGTTAATGAAACTGAAGTTCTGGAGGAAAAGTTGCATTTAAAAGATGACTAATGCAGAGAGGTGAAGGAGGCCAGCACTGAGTCCTAGTCTGTGGTTTCATAACTTAGACATATTTGATACAATTTCCTTTTTTTTTTTTAATTGGATGTGGTACATGTATGATTACAATCTTGTTATTTTTAAAAATTTTCTTAAATAAGTTGAGTTCCAAGTGATGTTTAAGGTGGTGAGTTGTCTTGTAAGTATTGTTTGGCCCATTTAGCTTTTAATGTCAGTTAGCAGGTTAAAAAACATGAATCGCTTTTTCTTTAAAACACATTATTTCTCACTGTATGTTTGTCTTGGCAGAACAGTAAGTACTGGAAAGAATTACACAGCTTTTAAAGCTGTAATTTCTGGTAGTACCTGCAAATATAAGCACAATGACATCCATGAATTCCTTTGTAAGGAGAGTGCAGTATGAAATAGTAATTTGTCTCTTCTTCAGATACGAAGATGCTTGGGCTGCGCTTCATAAAGGAGCCAAAGATTGTGCAAAAGCTGGAGAGGTAAGAAAAAATAACAATGTAATGCATGAAATATTTTAAAATGTGTAAATAATTTTAAACTAAAACTTTTACTACCCACCTACAATGTTAACCTTGGCCCCCAGGTAAACATCCTCACAGCTTTGTTTGCTCTCACAGTAATGTAAACAACAACGTAATTCAAATGTGAAATAACAAAAAACTCGATGCAATGTAAACAGTTGCAAAGATGATGTTATATGTTACTGCTCTAGATCTTTAAAAGCAGTGGGGGCTGGCTGGGAAAGTACAGAATGTATTTGGGGTTGAGGCATCTTAGTGGTTTGTATCAGGGCAGGGCTGTGGCATTGACACTGCTGCCCACTCCTAGTGCACAGGAGACAGCAAGATTGCCTTGACCACAGAAAATATTTGGGAAGTGTTTGTGCTTTCTCCTAATTTCATTCACTATTCCTGCCCTGGAAGCAAAGTGACAAGTTGTGTGGTTTATCTGTGGAATGAAGGGGAAGGAAATTTCCAGTAAGTGTTACCAGTGCATTACTCAGCACCAGACTTTCAGTTTCAAGCCGTGTTTAAGAGGCAGACAGTGTAATCTGGGTGGCCACGATGCAGAGCAGGACTGAGCTGTCTGAAACCTTCACTTTGGCTGAGTGCATCCTTCCTGGCTCTTCTCTTCACTTAGAGACTTCTCTGTATCTTTTTATAATGGATAAATCACTCACTGTGTGTTTACAGTAAGAAAGAATGTCTCGTCTCCTATGTTCTTCTTTCTCTTGCCTAATGGTATGGTCCTGCTTTTCCCTGCATTCTAGTGAAAACCTTCAGGCATGGGAGATAGAGTTCTCCTTGCCAGTTTGGCATGTTTTACTGCTCATAATGTTCTTTTTTCCTAGAAAATCTCATAAATGATACTGTCACAATTTTGTAATATTTGCTATAGTTTGCTTTAAAAATTGCAACTTTGAAAGTGATGTGAGGTTTCATATATATTAAACTAATATAACCTAATCTCACATGTTATGGCTGTTATGGAAAATGAGAATGAAAAACTTCCAGAGAGACTTCTATTTCCCTTTAAAATCAGATGTTTACTTTACACACAACTCAGTATATGCATTGCTTGTAGAATTTTGTTTTTTACTTTTTTTATAAAGGGAGAATAAAAACTGTGTAAGCACAGAAGATTGACTGTGCTATAGAAGACTTACAGGTCCACTTGTCCAGTATCCAATTTCTGCTTACTTGTGCTGTCTTATTTATAAATGTTGAGTAAAGTGAAAATTTTAGGCTTCAATTGCAGCTTACAGTCTTACCATGTTAAATGGTAGATGTTAACTACCAGTTCCATGCACAAAATTTTCCTTTTAGATGATTATCATTTCACCTGCATTCATTTATCTCAGGGCTGAAATGTTTGTGGTGTTTGTCACTATCTCATGGTGGCTTTTTTTGGGTTTTTTTGTTTGCTTTACTGTTTAACTGATATAAATACCATATCCCAGTCTCAGAAATAGACCTGGCTTATTTAAGTAAGACTGTTTGGTCTCTTAAAGTGTTCCATTTCTCACTGGGCTTTGGAATAAGTTTTCAAAATGTGTCTGGTGAAACAGGATGTTTTCTGAACAGGGATAGGTAGCTGGAGGAATTTGCAAAAGATAGTTGTTCTTTTAAAAGAATTTATATAAAGTGGGTAGAATTGTACATTTGAGAGCTCCTTTGGCCATTGCTCAGACTTTTTCAGTTCTGCCTATAAAGACTATAGAAATTGAGGAATTCAGAATGCAGGTACAGCCACAGGCTGTAGTTGTGTGCAAGAGGAAGAATGGGTAGTGGAATTAGGAGCAGGGAAACAATAATTGAATCATCTCAATTATATATGATGGAAACATTTGTTACCTAGAATCTCTTGATTCTGATGTTTTTCATAGAAAATATAAGTGAGACTTTGAAGCAGTGTATCCTTTTCTTAGCTTATTATATAATAAAAGTTAAGAAGAATGAAACAACAAGAATTTAAGTAATGTAGAAATGTGTTCAGAAACACTTGGCACTACTGCAGTTTGTCACAAAAGCAGAAGAGCAGTAATGTTATAAAGGCAACTTTTTTTGAAATTTCATTCCTTTTACTTGATTTTCTAGCCTACTTTGCATGTGCAGAATTTTCATTTTTATTGTTAAGATGAAATTGGTATGACTGGCAACATTAAACTATTGATATAAATATGCCCAAAATCGCAGCACTGCGATGTTGTTATTGTGCACCAGTGCAACACTGCTGCCAAAATTTCAGGTACATCTTGCTTACAGTTAATAACATCCATTAAATACTTCCTGCATTGATTAGTATATTGAGAAAAAACTTTCTGTCATATTTTTGTTCAGTGCATTTTGAAATAAATATTCCATACTACTGGGGATTCTTTTGAGCATGTTGTTTATTTACTTGAGGAGTACACAAGTGGCAGTGCTGTAGGGTTGTTGTGCTGACCTTATGCTTCCAAATGTATTAATTATAAAAAAATAGTCAAGATGCTCATGAACAGGTACAGAAGTTTGCAGTTAAACACCTGTTTGTTGCAGCTGGTTGACAGTGAAGTTGTGATGCTTTCTGCACACTGGGAGAAGAAAAGGAGCAGTCTGGTGGAACTGCAGGATCAGCTTCAGCAAATACCAGGATTCTTAGCAGATCTGGAATGCCTCACAGCAAGCCTAGGTAAGTTCTTATAGACATAACAAACATTCAGATCAGTACAAAGGATTAGACTGAAGTTCAACTGTTGTGAATGTTGTGATTATAAAAATTAATTTTGCTTTCTGTGGTAAAACTGTAGTTCTTAAACAAACTGGTTTTTTTTTAATCAACAAATAGCAGTGGTTGTTCTCCCAGCAGTTGAAATTTTGTATGTGTTGCTATGTGAAAAAAAAAACTGACAAATGTTTGAACGGGTGAAAAATGCTATTCTTGAAGTCTTATTAAATTGTTAAGATTTTTTGATAGTATAAATTCTAATTTATATAGCTGCTTCTTTTGGATTCTATGTAATTTTACATAATAATGTTTAAACTTATCTTTTGGGGTGGGATGGGGGGGAGGAATTTACCTGGCTAGGGACACTTTCAAGGCAGAAACCTTTGGTTTTGAATAGTTGTTGGTTCCAAAGGTAGCTTCCATAATTTGGATTGATTTACAGGGTTAAGATATTCTGAAGTGATACTGAGCTTTTCTATAGGTGAATATTAATGCTGCCTATTAGCAAACACCTCATGTTTGTTAGGTGGGTTGCAATTTTTAAAACTTTACCAAAGGTTAATCCGTTCATTTTATTAAAAAGATGAAAACATAAATGCTTTGGTGGACTATTTCTGGAACCTCTCATACAAAACTGTTGAAAATTAAATTAGGAAAAAATGTTGAGGACTCTTAGTCTCTGAAAATCTCTACTGTTGCTGAGCCTTGAAATGGGCAGGCAGCATTTGGCAAGCAGCAGCCCTGTCTGTCCGCAGTACATCTCTTGATGCTTCCATGAAAATCCATACGGGGTGCATCAAATTAAAGCTTCAAAAAACTTCTGTCTGCACGTAGATTTTAGGTAGCTAAGTTCCCCAGGGACTGTGCCTGCACTTCTCTTTCTTACAGCTGCTGGGAAGTAATGCAGAAATTCCTCATGTGATTGCAGCTCTGGTTTTTTGTGGGGTGGGCTGGATTTTTGTGCTGACACGATGTGAAGAAAGGGAGGGTTCTTTTCTGTCTTCAAGGGCTAATTTCTCATTCTGCCATGGTCAGTGGTCATGCACAAATCAGCTTTTGTTCCTAGGTGGGCTGGTAATAACTTTGCTATTTATTCCTGAAGCAGGGAATATATTCTACTTTTTATTACAATTTTCTTATACAATCTTGTTTAATAAGGCTTTATCATCTGTGCTAACCATTTAATATTGGCTGTTTGAAAAAAAATATTTCTAAGGAAATAAAAGTTCAAATAATGATTTATTAAAATACTGGGTTTAATATTACCATGCAGCCCACTGGTAGCCCAAAGATAAACAAAGTAATAGAAAGCTAATGAAATTGCCTTTATAGTTCATAATGCTGCAAATGCTGTAAAATCCTGATGAATTTGGACTGCTTTCTGATTCCTAATACAGTTTTATGAACTAGAACTAATCTCACTCCGATTGTAGAATTTATTGGATAGGTAAGTCTCTAGATATTTTTTTGATACTGCAAAAGTAGGATTTAAGGAAGCATTCAGCAGCCAGCTCAGGGAAGGTAATGAATTTTGACATGTACTGCTAAGGTTCTGGGATTTGAACCAAACCTTGAACCGAACCAAACCAAGCTTTACCTTTTGTGTTGGATTTTAAGTAATTTATCTAAAATTTCTTATTAGTTTCTCCTAACAACTGTGTTTTGGGTTTTATTTTTTCTTCTATTAATTTTTATGGAGTCTGTTTGAAGAGATAGATGTAATTTGTACCAAATTCAACATCTAACCTTCTGAAGGTGATTTAACAGAACTTTACTGCAATATTCTGCTCATTGTTTTTAGTTTTTATAACTCTTAAATAATTGCTTCATATAAACTGTATTCAGCTTTTCAAGAGATTACTATTTGTCTGACTGTAAATTTTGAATATGAGTAAAATATTCTGTAAAAAAAATGAAAATAGAATCACAAAGTGCTGAGTTATGCACTCAAGATGTAATTTGGCTAACCTTCATCATTTCAACAAAATAGTTGGTTCTTCTGACATGATATGCTTCTAATAAATGTATTAATGCTTCCATTTTGAAAGTAAGTATGGGACCCTGGCTGTTTTCAGAGAAAGAAATTTCAGATAATGGAAATGAACCTTTTTAGTGACCTACTTAAAATTGATATGACTCATGTACAGATTCTTCAGCTTTTGCTATGTATTACAGGACATGCTTTCATTAGCCATTTTATAAAGTTCTTTAGCTTAGGTATTCACATTATCAGTCATCCCTCACTTGAAGTAGAAAATCTGTGGCTTCATTTGATAAATTTATTGTATTATGCAATGTCTTGTAGCTGCTACTGAGAATTTTGAAGAAAAAAGTTACTCTCATGTAAAGGTGGAAAGGACAGTTATTGCCCTTTCAAAGTGCAGAATTGGAATCATCGCTTAAGCCAGTTTTTGGTTGAGATGTTGTAGAAAATATCTGCTCGCTGATATCAGCATACATAGTATGTTTTCATGTTTGAGCAGTGGCATTTTGCTCAAACATCGGTTTTGGTTTCAGCAAATCCATACACACAAACATTAATCCAAATCCTTTTTTCGTCCCTTCCTTTTTTTTTTTTTCATTTAAAGATCAGTTTGATGCTGGTTTCAGAAAGACTGCTCTTGTATATAGGTGACAGATCCAACATAGGTTGAAAATGTTTTCCCTGTGGGACTGCAAAGAAAATAAGGCTGGGCATGTAGTCACAGAGATAAAAGCCTTTGCCTCTTAGTTTTTAGGGTTTATTTCAAGTAAGGACTAGATGGGTGTGAAAATTTGTTGGGAAAACAGAACATTTTGCACTGCTTAGGAGAAGCATCCTTGTTTATATCTTGAGCAAAAGGTCAGTCTTTTTTTTATTACAGATTGTGTGTCAAGTATGAAAGTTGCCATTCTCTAGCTTTGCAAAATTCGTCTAATTTTTTCAGAATTTGCATTTATCTTTTACTGAAAAAATCAGGGAAAATATTGGGAAGATTTATGTAAAACCAGAGAATTTGAATAATATTGTGTAAAGACATCTGTGTTCAACAGGGAATTTTTCTCCATAGGCTCCAGGGCACAACACTTCAGCAGAGGGGGTTGTTGTATTAGGTAGGGATATATATGTATAAAAGGCAAACAGTTTGGTGCTGTAAACTTGGAAGTGCCTGAGGATTGAGTACACAAGGAAAAGGATCCTAGTGTACCTGCTATGTAGTTTCAGCAAAGAAGCTGCTCTAACTTCATGTAAGTGGTGTACTAGCTGGGTTTAAGATCCTTTCTGCGAAAACAGATAAAAATTGTGCACTAGTAGAACTGTAATTTTATAAATTTTTTCCTTTTTTTTAAAATTTATTTTGCAGCTGAATTGAGCTCTTCCTGGTCTTATATGTCTTTCACTGCTCATTTTAACCTTTTAGTAATCCTTGCCCTTGTAATCTCTGTGTGGCCTAGCGGTATAGAGACCATCTTTGATATAATTGCTTCCATCCTTTTTGCTTTTTCTCTTTTAGATGGAAAATAAATGATCTTTGTAGAAATGTCTTTAATACTCCTGCATGGTTTCTGTTGTTTGAGTGGCTGGGACAGTGCAGGAAAGCTACACCTAAAGTTAGTGGAAACCTATTTTCTGACATACAGCTATGATTTAGCTATTCTAACAAATTTTGTACTCATTCAGAAATACAGATAACATAGGTTTCAGTTCGAAAAGTTATGTGGTACATTTAAATTAGGTACAGTTTAGAAAGAAGGTGTTTCCTGGATTAAAATAAAACCGTGGTTATTGAGTTCTAGATAAATACTTTGATACCTGATAGCTGATAAACCATGGAAAACAGTGTATGCTGCTAGAAGATAATACAGTGTAATGTCACCTGACCAAACTTTAAACATACTTCAAAAGAATTAAAACTAAGAATTAAAGTTTCAAATACTGTTGTTATGCTTGTGGTAATGTAAGAAATACAACCCAAACTGTTGTAATTGGAGTGATGTGACACAAAGAAGTTTTTTGGGTTTTTTAGCTGTCTAATAAAAAAATAGTATTTCTACCAAGTGTGGCATATTGCTGTATATGAAAAGTCTTGATCTAAAGGTAAATATGTTTTTTAGAATCTGAAAAAGATTTAGAGGAGATGCATTTTTCACAGCCTAAGTTTCAAATTAATTAAATCTATAGTTTTGTTTGGCACTGCCTTTGTATGCACAGTGCAGATATTCTCTTTTGGGTAAGAGAGATCTTAATTCTCAGCTGTAGCTGCTGCACTGTAGCCTGTCTTCAATTTTTTTGTGAAAAGCAATTTTTCTTTCACTTCAGATAGGAAAAAAACTTCTGAAACCTCTGTTGCAGTAAAGCAGGATTGTTGCCTCCTGGAGAGATCTCTGGTGTCCATTTCTCTTCTTCAGGAGCACAGTGTTTTCTGCAGTTCCCGCTAGAGGCTGCTCAAATGCAAGTACTAGAAATCAGTTGCTCTCTAGAATTCACTTTCTTTCATCCTCTTTATTTTCCTATTCTTTGTTGTTGTCTTTTAATATTATTTCAACAGCAAATACAGCAAAGCAGGTGGTAGGCATTTTTAAGTGGAAAAAACAGTGGTTGATAGGTACCTTAGTAAATTATTTTCAGTCCTGCTGTGTTTGAGAATTTTGCAGATTAATAAGGGAGCAATTATTCTGAAAAGCAAGTTAGCACAATACAGGTATTTGGATTTTAATGCACTCAGAGAAGTCTATTTCCTAAAGAAAAAGGGCCTACCAATCATAATTGTAATCATGATATTACGCTTTGAATACATCTGGATTTTGTGAGAGAAAATTGAGTATGTGGTAAGCGATGAATGTTCCACATCACAATATGTAGAACTGAAAACATTTTTTTCCCCTCAAACTTGTTTTTGCATTAATTGTCAATTGCCTTTCTTTATTTTTTGTTGGTTTTTGCCAATCCCTCCCACTTCCCCTCAGTGATCTGTATACAGAAAAATAATTTAGGGAAATTTTTACTGATTATATTATTCATATATATATATATTTTTTTTTTCCTTTCCTGTTATGGATCTTCTTTGTTAGGGGCTAAAAAAATGGTGTTAAGTAAAGCTGAACATATGAATATGCATCCTAGGAAATTTGCTTATGAAGTCTTAACCTCTCCTTTTTTAGAGGAACCACAAGGATGGCTATTTATAATGAAGCAATGGCTAAGGAAGTTGAAATTATTTATTGTCCAAGATAGGCTTCAAGTAGAATGGCCAAGCCAGAATGGATGATTTGGCTGATGCCTTCAGCTTCCTGTTTCCTTTTTTTGAGCATCTGAAATACATTAACTCTGGCTGCTATTTGTTTGTAAAAATGTGAATTGTTCTTGCTCCTGAATTTGCCTTCCCTGTGGTATAGGAGAAGGCCTGGCAGAAAAGATGAATAATATTCCTGTAGTTCACACAGTTTCATCCCAGAGTGACCAGCTGGTTAGGATTTGGGAAATATTTTCCACTGTGAGATCCTGAGGAGAGACATGAAATTTAGCATTAATCACCGTCAGGGAAAGTGATTCTTTGATACAACGTTCAGATGGGTTAATTCAGATGAGGAGGGACCTCAGAAATTGTCTAGTCCAAATTTCTACTCAGAGCAGTGTGAGCTATGAGATGAGATCAGTTTTCTCAGGACATGTCATAGACAAGATCTATTTGAAGTTGAGACTGAGCTATTATGTTTAAAGAAAATATTAAGAGGTGTGTATGTAAAATAGGTAGATTTAATTGTAAAATTTACATGTGTATGTAAAATAGGTACATCTCTATATTTAGCTATCAGTAAAGGGTCTGTCTTCAGAGACATAAATATCTGTTCTTTTATATTACCATGGTATCATGTGAAAGTTAAAATTCTCCCTGTATGCTTTATTTTTGTTTCATTTGAACAAATGAATATTTGACCTGGCTTTGGCCAGCGCAAATTTATTCCTTGGATTGGTACTGTGCAGGAAATGCTAAACTGGCAGTCTGCTCAAGAAAGAAAAGTATGAGTTCTGAGTGCTTCTCTTCCTCAAAAACAGGCCAGGATCCTGTGCCACCACAATGCTGGGACAAATAGGATGGTTCAGCACCTTACTACAAGGGAACCTTGGATAGATCTCCCTTTAATGTGGCTCTGCTGCCACTCTTCACTGTGGGATTTGGAGCTGAGATTTGTTTGTCTTTTATATGTGTGTAATTATCACCATGTTAATTATTTACCTTTATGAAATCCTGTTTCTGTTCAGGTGAGTTGTCTGTCCATTGATGCAGTTAGATATTCATACCAAGTCTTTCTTACAGCCCAGCTAGAGGCAAACTTTGAGGAAATGGAGAATCATCTGTTGTGTCTCGAGGAACTATGTGAACAGTGTGAATTGGAAAGGTACAAATGTATGCAGACATTACAGCTGGAAAACTACAAGAAAACAAAAAGGTAAATAAAACACTCATTATAAATATAAATTAGCATACAATATAAGCCTTTTGTAATTATATACCCCCCCATATAATATTATCCCTTTTATTTTCATCTTCTAAAGAAACAATAGTCTTTGACAGGACGTTGCAAATTTGTAGTAGATTCATTGAATGTCTTAGTGATGAACAAAGAGTACATGTGTTTGGAAAATTATCACAACGTTGTTAAGGTTAAGTCATGTTTATTATTCTCCACAAGAATTGGAATAAGGGCTGTTGTTAATAAGCACAGATAAACTGCTGTTTCTTTTAATCCCTTGCCCTGGTTTATGGATTCCTTTTTTTTTTTTTCTCCCAAGTACCTGTCAGGTTAGGAGCTGAATTTTCCTCTATTTTCCTTTCAGTACTATCAGTATCCAATCCTGTAAGTACCTTTTACTCTGTATGAAAGGTATTAATCTCCTGCCATTCTCTTACTTGTAAAAGCAGGGCATTAATTCTTGGAATCAGAGTTCAACTTACAGCAGTATGTATGAAAATTCAGAACTTTGAACTCATGAGCTTCAGGTTAGCCTAAAAGATAAAGTAGCAAGAGAAAAATATGAATCTCTTAAATAACTGTTGACTTCCTTGATTTTTGTTACTGCCAGTGCCAAAAGTAACCTAATAAAAGGAGATAAGAAGAGCAGTATTACATTCATTATATAAATTAGGAAATGAGGAGTTGAATTGAAGCAGTTTGTCAAAGACAGTGTGTGACAGCCTATTAGGGAGGGGTGGGTGGATGTGGATGTTGAACTGACATGGGGATAACCAGGGTACTTGATCTGTCCAGGCAGGAGTCCTGCTGTTAGCCAGGGAAAGCAGCCTGGCACTCTCCTTGTCTCCTTGATTGTGGAAGCAAGTTTGATACATGTGGTAAGATCAGAACAAGTTGTTCTCACAGTTCTGATGAGGATGTGGTGATTGAAGGTGGGACTGTGCCAGACAGCAGGGGCCACATTTTCCTCAGCTTGTGTGTGTTCACCCTCCTTGCCATTCTTGTAGCTCTTTTTATTTGAATGTTTTTTTTAAATCCAAGTCTCTTCCCAAAGGATCTATTCACCCCTGATTATTTTTTCACTAATGGTTCTCAGTTAGTATGTAGGGAATCTTAGGCTTTTGTGGTGTTACAGGTCCAGTTATTGAAGGAATACTGATGTTGCAGGTTCTACCTCCCAAAAGGTCTCCAATACCTTAAAGATCCCCCTTCAGTTTTCTGTGAAATTTGGCTGTTTCTTATCTAACTCACCTTTAAACACTTGTGAAATCCAGTCATCCCTCATGGTCCTATCTGTGGCTTTTGTCAGTATCTTATTACTTTATCTGTCACATCTGGCAATTTCTCATGTCATGTCGGTTTAGTTTTTCACATCCTGTTCAGTTGTCTTAACCTCACAAATGGTCTGTAATTTTCCTGCAGCCTGGATTGCCTCTTTCCAAGGTCAGGGCTCCATATTCTCTCTCCAAGAAGAATCAACAGCAGTCAGTATGGCTGAATATTCACTTGTTCAGACCCACTTGAGTTATCTAAATATCTAAGAGTAATGAATCCAGAATTCTAAATATGTGCTATTTAACCAAGTAACACAATTTTAAAATGCATATAAAAAGCAACAGAATTGGTCCCATATAATTGTCTTTCTACAGTTTTCTGAATAATTTTTTGTTCTCTGCCATCCTTGCTCCCTTTCTCCTAGCCACTGCTTTCAACGTCAAACTGTTAAAACATTGCCTGCTCTGCTTAGCAGCATCTAATCAGTTTTATAAATAGATTGCTAAGCAAGCTACTTAGTGTAATTGTAAGCTGATTACATTTGGTCAGATCTAGACAAAACAGGAAAAATGCAGGTAATTTCTGGTTGATCATTACCACTGTATTTATTTAGGTAAGAAATTAACTGCTAGCTCATTCCAGGAAGGACCCGTGCCAGTGTAGGTGCTTGAAGAGCGAGCAGCCGGTTAACTTGATGTGAGTGTGATTTGTGGTGCATCTTTGGGACTTGTACTCTGTCTTCCTCTCTTCAGTGCTTGGGGTTTTTACTGTGATACCAGCTGAAGGAATCAAGAAGTGGGGAAGGGCTCGGGAGTCTGTGCTCTCTCTTTAGCACAGAAATTATTTTCAGGGAGTAAGTGGTTTTGTGTTTGGAAAAAAAAAATAATTTCATGCGTTTTGACAATATAGGGATGAAAACTGAGATGAATCTGAGCTCTAGAAACTCTGATTATTTTAAGCATGTAACAAAGCGTAATTTCATTATAAAGTCACTGTAGAGCTTAAGCTAGAAGCTCATGTATTTCAAACCTTTTGAAAAAATCCTATATGAAAGACTTAGAAGAAGGTGCCTTAGGTCAACATCAAACCTATGAAACACAGCTTATGGTAACTATGGGAACTTATTTTAAGAAATAGGTCTCCCTATTAAATAAAGCAACTTCATTTCAGTTCAAACAGATCAATTTTTTCCCTTTTGTCATTGTGTTGAGTACTAATTTCAAAGTAGGTTCATCAATCCGCATCTTTTCCAGGCTATTTAAAAGCCTGGTGTTTGGGGGATTGGTTTTGGGGTTTTTTTGTGAGCTTAGTTCTGGAATTTTAATATTCTCTTTTTTGTGTTTAAATCCATTGATCAGGGTACCAGTACTGTTGTATGAAGTCTAAATTCCACCCTTCTTTTCTCTCGTTAGTCTCCCTGCAGTCGTTTGGATCAGTCTTAGCATTAAACCATGTAATTTTGTTTCCTGTCTTTTTTTCAATCAAGCACAATTCTTCTTCCCTTTCCTTCATTCTCCTACTGAGGATATTCTGATTGCAGGAAACTTTGTGTCTCCTTAGTCTCATGTGACAATGTTTACTTTCCCAAGGGCACAGTGTCCTTTAGGAATCGCTGTCAGGAGCTCATGTCTGTGTCATCTCTTAATGTGCCCTGAATGGCAGCCTTGTGGTGTGAGATGAAATGTTTCTGACCTGAAGCTGTACTTGGCCATGGAGCTCGTTTGTATCCATTTCAGAGAGATCACCACATTTTCAAAAATAGCAACTTCCGATGCGTCAATTAAAAGGAGCTGCCCAAATGCAGCATTTTGTAGGAATACATTGGGAATAGCAGGGTCTTTGTCACTGGAATTGAGTGAATAGAGTTTACTGTATGTTATTTGACTGAAAATGTAATTGTCTGAATGATAATTTTTTAGGATGTCTTTTTTAAGAACCTGCTCTGTTTTTCAGTATTTGTCAGCTTTGAGAACTGACATAGAAGGAAAATAAATGTAAAAATCTAAAATACAAACCTTAGTGAGACTACTGTCTTTTTCCTTTTTGATGTTATTTAAGGAAATGCTTAACTTTAAGAAAAAATAAGTTCTTTAAATTTATGTGTATTCATAATTTTTGAATTGTAGAGGGTTTTTTTTAGTGTAATCCCGTGCTTTCATAATTGATGCACTAGGTGAAGAATTGGACAGACTGTCATAGTTTTTGTTGGATGCATTGCCATGCCATGATGGTGCTTTAGTGCTTCTGGGGTACAAGAATGTTTGATTTACTTTCTCATTCAGAAGAGTATAAAATTTATGGCAGTTGCATTCTGTGGATTAGAGATGTGTATGAGAAAACTAAGTCTTAGTTATTGTTGTTTTCTTCTGCAAACTCTATCCCTCTTTTTAATTGCTTTGGGAACAAAAGGAGCAGTAAGGGTTGTTGATGTAGGTACAGTGCCTTATCTGAGGCCTCAACAACATAAACATTTGAAAAGTACATACAGAAAAACTTCCATAGCTGTAGCTCTTGTTTAGAGCCCATAGCATTCCTCAAGCAATAGGCTGGGACAGTACTCTGTACTGCACAGCGTCCTCAGTGGTGATTCTTTCCCACCTGGCAGTGATACATTTAAATTTTATCTCCACAACCCTTTCAAGCTTTGCATGTAATTTATAAAATTTACTTTTTATATGTAAAAAAGTGTATATGCCCCTTTGTTGCAGATATTTCAAGCAAGTATATTTTTCCTTCCAACGTTGTGTATTGTGAATTGTTTCTGGGACCTGAGCTACATGTTTCATAGTTCTCATCAAAGTTTTCATCAGTGTAAATTTTCATGCTATACACTTTTTTGATCAGTCTTCTAGTGGTGTAGATCTGGAGCTGCCATACGTCTGTGTAAGTGGGTATCTAAATAAACATTTTTGCAAGATTGAATGCAGAACTTTTGTTATCTTCAGGAGTTTTACTGGCAGATGTGCAGTGGATGACTGGCTTTGAGTTTTCATTAGGCATTGTGTGAGTTTCTGTACTCACATTGTAAAGATGTTTTCTATCCTGTTTAATGAGTTTGAATGCAGCACAATCAGCAATATTGTATATAATATAATCAGAATACAAATACCAAGTGTCTTCATGTGGTGATAACTGGCTGGAATTAATTTTATGGCCATCAGTTGTTGCACTTCTTTGGCAGACATGTGGAATGAGAATTCCTATTGATCCTGAAGAGACTTGCACAATCTTTGGAAGAGTTTAATGGATAATTTTGCTTCGTTTTTTTGTAGTTTGAAGGCTCTAAACTTACTTTTTTTTTTCAAGAACTCTCGCATTACAGTATTCTGCATATGCCAAGCCAAAAGGAGCATGCTGCTTCATTATTAGTGAATTTTACTCCCATCAGTGCTCCCAGTATTTGGAAACATTGGTCAAGACTGAACACACAGCAGATTTGAAGATTGCAGGGGTTTTGGCAGTTTTTTCTCTTATTTGCAAAGTGTGAATGTACGGTATAATTTATGTCACTTTTAAGTTGATTTAATTTTGCCCTTTCTCTGGTGATCTTTGCTTGATACAGAGAGACAATGACATTGTTACAAAGAGATTTGCTGCTTACCTTCTCCTTATAGTCTTGTTTTCTTTCAAATAGGCAAATAAAAGACCTTTTTCTTTGGCTTTTGTGACCTGTGGTTAAAGACTGAATGTTTGTGTTGGAT